CAGGGCCCGCGTGGGGGCCGAGGGGGTTACCAGAGTGCCAGCCTCTGCTCCACCTCGCGCAGGAAGCCTCTGTGGAGCTCATAGATGGGGTCTATGTTGGCGAAGAGCAGGGTCGCCAGGTCCGCGGGCAGGGCGTCTTCCTTGACCACCGCGCTGCGGAACCACTGCGGGAGAGCTCAGGGTGACCGACCACCTCACCCCCAAGGGCCTGCGGTCACGGGACACCCAGCGCTGACGCAAGGCCCCATGGGGACAGCTGCTCTTGATGGGCCACCAGCGTTTCCCAGCATGAGAACAATTCTGGATGAAAAGCTTCACGTGGGAATGTTCCCCGTTTAGAAAACAGACCCACTGTTCTGACCCGGCTTGGAAATGCTCCGAGGCACATACAGCGCGGGTCTCGCGGCGGCTGAGAGGCGCTGCTTAGAGGGCTCTTCCGCCTCCGGCTTAGGATTAAGCAGCATTAAGAAAATCAGAGTGAAAAAGGGCTGAGTTTTCATACCACGGTAATAACTTCTAAATCCTTCAGGTACGTCCGTTCTGTGGCGAGAATCTCCCTCGCTATGAAGTAGGCCTCGTCCGCGCCCGGGCCCTGCAAGAAGCCGACAGCGAGCCGTGAGCGCGTTCCCGAGGCCTACGCGCCCTTCTGCTCGTTTACACTGTGGCTCGGTTTTCGTCCGTAATTCCTGAGGGGATTTCCTTCTGCTGAAAATACAAGCCCAGTTCTTTCTCCCTCACGCGATTTTCTCATTTTATGTTGCTCTTTTTGAGAAAAGAACTGCTGTTCAAACACCAACGTGTATGGAAGCTTACTGTTGGTCCTGCGATAAAAGCATTGCTCAGACACCACCACCAGGCCTGCAGCCGGCACGGCCAGGTGCGTGTGCGTGTGCGTGCGTGTGCGTGATCACAACCATCAAGCCCAACTCTCAGAAAGTCATTCAAACTGCCCAACAGTGTGCGCTCTGTGGCCTGTTAGCGCACGAGGCGGCCAGCACGCCGCGCGGCCGGAGGAGGTGGGCCCTGGAGCAGTCACATCCCCCAGGGCCTCTGCCTGACTCGGGCGCTGGCAGCGAGTCAGCAACGATGGGACCCTCGGCAGCAGGAAGGGTGGCCCCACGTGCCCGGCTCCCGGCTCCCGGCAAAGCACGGGCCTCACGCTCGGGCTCGAGGGCCCCTTCGCCACCCTTCTCCAGCTGGAAGNTGGAAGACGCCCGCCACTCGAACCCTGCCCTTCCAGTTGTCGCTCCCGCACCAGGCTGATACTTCAGAGGCCAACTGTCCCCACGTCTGCCGCGCAACACGCCTAGAAGCACACGCCAGCCCAGACGGCACCTGGATGGGCCCAGGGGAGAGGCCCTGCCCTTGAGGGACAGCCTCCCGCAGGGGAGAGGAGCAGCCAAGCAGCAGGGCCGGGGCGGGGGCCAGGGCCTTCCGCACTCAAAGCGCCCTGGGCAGGGCAGGGGGGCGGG